CAATATATCATCTTAATATCATGAGGGAACTGGAGTTGCATATGATATAGAATAGGAAATAGGAGTTGGGGGACTTTAACAATGTTTATAAAACAATGAATTTATTTCCAAAGAAGCCGTCAGTGCCATCAATGTTGTCGCCCATAATCATGTCATTTCCAATAGAGTTCTCAGGGTGTTCAAGTAGTTCCAAGTTCCAACTGTAACGTTTCCTTTTCAATTTGAATTTTGATCAGTTTGATCAGCTGTAGCAAAAGATAATACTATTAAAATCTTTCTTCAAGCTTGAGCAAAATTGTGTCTAACAACACTCTAAACCAAGTTATAAATAGTTGTAAAGTACTTGTAAATATCATACAAGACTGTACAACATTATAAGATAGTACATAAGATTGTAAGTGGCGATGGACTTTGATTGGAAACTCCATTCCACCCGACGGAATATGTGAATGACCTAAAATCTTAATACCTCAACCCCTCGCCGGCCCCTCAGATTACCATAAGCTTTTTACCCTTTGTACTTGATATTATAAATACATGGTAGACTAAATACCATTTTTGCAACGAGGTAAGTGCATGGCTGTTTGGAAACCAGTGTACAACATATTAGTCTATTAATTTTATTGTCAAAAACTTTATAGGCCTACTCATGTTAAATAGGTTAACACTCGTAAATATAGTAAATAAACATTATATACTTTCAAAAACTCTGATTGGTTAGCCAGTAATTTCACTAAAATTATTGCCTGTAAAACCAAGGGATTAAATATGATAAAAAATACTAAAAATTGTCGTGTAAAACTGATGTTGCCGAAACAGCTCTGTAAGAATCTTTTTGCACAAACATTATGTTCTACAACGCGGCCTGATAAGTTACCCTGGGGATGCCCTATCTTATGTCGTACATTACCTGTGTGCCTATCTAGATACATGTGGAGGGAAAATAGGGACAGTCATTTGTAGAGAGGATTCATACTGTATATTTTAATTGCTAATTCAGCCTATACGGACATTTTACAATTTAAAAGTAAATTTATTAGTTTTGGAGTTAGTTATACCTTTATGTTTTAAATCTTAGGTTTAAATTACAGAGAAAATGTTATTTAACCAACATCATGTTCGATAAATAATATCAGAATTGGATTATTAGTTACTTAAGGATTGAAGTAAATAAATATATCAATGTATCAGAAAATAAACGAGAGTTGAAAATAAATGTTGAACTACCTGTAATGAACTGTATATTTGGTAATACCAAACCGAACTAAATCACAAAAGAAAATTGTATATTATTTTAGTTCGTTTACTTGGTGCAAAACTGACCATATCTTGTTTTGCCAATAAAAGTAGCTTTAAAGAAAGACATGCACAAGAGGAACCTTGCCAACAAAATAATAAACAATTTAAATTCAGAGATACAGTATTAATGTTGTAAAATATTTTACCTACGACCGTTTTTTAAAGTAGCCATTTCAGTCCAGTTCTTAGAATTGAAAAGTTTCACTTTACAGCTGTTTACTTTCATATCCTCATAGTTTCATTTCATATCCGCATAGTTTTCTCATATCCACACAGGTAACGGACCAATGAGGTTCAAGTATTGAGAGAAAAGAATTAAAATTGTAATGCTTCGAACGTCAGCTGATCAGTTGACCAATTTAATTGTTGATCCGACTTGTTCATGTTGATACTCGCGTATTCTTAATTAAGTTGGTGGAAGTCCAAAAATAAATTAAATATTTGCCGAATTGTACCTGATACAATATTATTTATGGTAAGAATGCTGCTAGCAATGTAATATTTAACGAAGTTTAACAAACACGTAATTACAGGAAATCAGCTGATTATACAAAAAGTCGTTGTATCACTTTCAGTGGCAATGACAATACACGAAAACATAACCTCTCTAAAAAGTTATCAGTAGTTATTGTTAGTAATTAAATCCAGATTGATAGTAATTAAAAAACGGTCGTAGGTAAAGTAGTGTACGAAACTCGCGTTAATAGTCTTTACGACACTCGTAGAAGTTTTTAAGGCACTCGCCAAGGCCCGTGCCTTAAATTTTCTACTCGTGTCGTAAAGACTCACTTAACGCAATCGTTGCGTAAACTACTATATAGATACTGAAATTGCAACAACAATACTTTATCTTACAACAATACAATATTTAATCTTTTGATTAGGACTATTTTCTTCATCAAACTCAGCGTATGAATTTAAAACGGCAGATAATGTATAGCCCTATGTGATTCTTTAGGGATAAAAAAAATACTTTAGCCCCATGACTTTTGTTTGGTAAATATCCGCTTTCGCTGAAGTTTGACAAAAGATTACGAATGATGTAGGTTTCAACGTGTTATTAGGTGTAATGAAACATAGAATATTTTCGTTATTTTGCTTAGAATTTTTAATCTGATTATACATTTTCTAACAATGTACTGTCGACGGTTAAATTAATTGTAAGTACTGAATGAAAACAATACTTTTTTTACCTACAAAAGTTTACTAACCGTTTTAGTTCAGTTCTTAGAGTTGAAAAGATTCACTCAACAGCACTTTTTTTACTTAACAATAAGGGCAACGGGCCAATGAGGTTCAAGGATTGAGAGAAAATAAGTAAAATTATAATGCTTCGAACTTAAACTAATCAGATGATTTAATTGTAGAGTGGTGCAATTAGTGTTTGGTACAATGATTCGTTGCAATGAGATGTTATAAACGAAAACCTAACCTCCCTCATCCTGTAGGTGAACAAAAATGCTATTGTTATATCTGGCTTAAATAGCTATAAAGTGTTAAAGGTCTCAACAGTGAAACAATCAAAAATATGAAATATTGCATTGCACAGGTTATCATTTCCAAAAGGCCAGAGTATTATCATTTATTAGTAGGCATTTATAAGCATTAGAGGTCGTCTAGTAGTTGAAAACTCACCCAAAAATATGTAATGTACAGACTTCTCTATTTTTAAATAAATTATGTGATTGGAATTTCTTCCATTTGTTTTGATTTTATGTTTACATTTCGTCGTTATTTTGTCACTAAGATAGCACAACCCGTAAGGCCCATGTTGATTTTTTGAAATTCCAAACTCAATTTTGTGCTTATTTTAGGGCCTATTATAATTTATAAAAGATTCTGCACATCTACAGGACAATATCTTTCAAACAGTATGCGTAGATTTTCCTTGTGATGCACACGAGCTGAGAAAAAAGTCTTTAAAGAAACATGCTTGCCTATTAATTTGTAGATGGTTAATAATGTAACACTAGTTGTTAAATTAAATTAACTTCTAAGTATAAACAGGCAAATGTGGTTATGGTATTATTATTTACTAAATTTGGATTAATCACGAAAGAGAATAGTAAAATACATTGTATTTTTTTTCTTAGTTAAGTATTCTTTTCTAGCATTTAATGTAAAATGGGATTTTATCACGGTGTAAAACCCTTTTATTTTTTGGCAGAATGCAACAGGTTTCTCAAGTTTCAGCGCGAAGCTTATAAAATATTAACTGCTTTAATCACCTGTTAGTTTTCTCTATCAAAATCACCAGAGAGTCACTTCAAGCCTAACTTTATTAGCTGCAGTTGCTTGGATACAAATGTTGAGAATACTTACTTTGAGTTAAAGTAGGTTTAAAATGGATTTTAATACAAATATCTATTAAAGGAATATAATGTTTAGTTCAATTTTGTTTACTAATTGCATCGCTTTGAACCAGTATTTCTTTAATTAATTGTAATGCTCAAATCTTTACCTCAGATAGGCGTAAGAGAAACTCACACTAATGAGTTTATAACGAGAAGAAAGTTGCCTGAAGAACGTGCTTGGAGGAAATCTGGCGATTGGGTTGCAAAAACATTTCACTCTCAGTGTTCATTTTACGTTTACATCAACGTGTAAGTTGCAAAGAAAAAAAACACATCGAAATAAAAACTTTGTTCTGTGTATACGTATAAACCAAAGTTTGATAAATAATTAGAATACATGAAAAAATATAGTTTCTTATTGCTAAATCAAACTAAGTATCAGGCATATATTATATACTTCAAATTTACATGCCAAAAATTTTAATTTGAAAATAAGGAAAACAATTCAAAAAGCAAGTTGTTAAAATATTACAAAAAATAACTCTAAATCATAGTTTAGAATACTTTGACACCAACTTTACCAGTAGCCTTTTGTAAATTATCCTTATTTTAAATTAATTTAACTTTCCCTAAGTTATTTAAAGTGCAGCAAAACTTGTTTCTAAACAACATAGGCTATTATTATGATAGCACACGCCAAGGATAAAGGTGTATTCTTGCAGTTCATGTTTTGACAATGTATTCTAAAGGTGTACATACACCATTATTCTTGCAGAAAGTTCAGGTCATGTTTTATAACGGTAGAGCATCTTAAACAAAGTTTTAGTGTTCAGCCCCTTCTAAGATAGACTTTTACTCCTGGGAACTTACATATGAAATTGTATATAGCAATACTAAGTTTCCGGAACTTACCCAATTCAATTTACACGAATTCATGGAACCATTGTCGTTTTCCCTATTGTAAATAAGCATTTGTCTAGTAATCGTGTAAATAAGCAAAATACATTTTAATTTTGTATATCCTTTAAACGTTATCGAGATACTTAAAAAAAGGAAGGAATGTAGTTATTATTTTTAACTTCTTCTATTTGTGCTCGAAACACAATTAAAAATACAAAACACATCATCAAAAGAAGATATTAAGTTACATAAATAAATATAATTTTTACGAAATGATGATATAATTTACACTAACGGGTCAAATTTTAAGAATGTTGCCCTGAGGCAATCCTAAATTATTATGTCATAATTTTTTACTTTATGTACGGTTTAGACTATTAAGTGTACGTTTATTCAGTGATTATAATTTAATTGTATTACGTTAAATTTATACATACTTTTACTTCAAACTTTCAATAAAATAAAACTAATATGTCATGTTAATTAAGACAAAGCAAATCAACTTACCATGAAGAGAGCTGTCATGGCTCATCAACAAAGTGTTTGCATGTTTGACAGTCCATAACCCTGGAACAAAGAACAATAATGAACACGAGAATAGTTTTAAACGTATCTTAAACACATTCTTCAACAACATCACGAAAAGCCAAAATAAAAGTATTTTTAAAAGTTTCATGTGAGACGATAAAGTGAGTGGAGAATAACATGGTTTAGGGTCTCTTTTATTCACGGTAGATGATTCTGTCACTGTTTATATTCACTTTCCCTTTGCAATATTCTTTATCGATGGAAGGGAATTTGGTTTCCTTTGAGTCATCAGCTTTTGTAATACAAGTTTACCTTCGTTCAATCAACTTTTTTAAATTTCCACCATTAATGATCATTTCAAAAAAGCTTGTATTTAATCTGGAAGGAACTTGTGTTCTATATTTTACTATTTACTACAGTATACAATTAAGTAGTCTATGTTTATGAGGTTTGTATACGATATTTTAAGGTAAGTTTATTTCACTGTGTGACGCAAAATTCTAGGGGGGGAATAAACTAATATTCACCTAAGTCAGGCTAGGCCTACCCCTAGAACCAGCCACACTCAAATTTCTTCCCCGGAGTGCTCAGAAGGAGCCGAGAAAAATCCAGGGGTCGATACGAAGTTGTCACGGCTTTGACTGATCAATTTATTTAAAATTTAATCGAAGGCTCAGAGCTCTAGAAGCGCTCAGGAAATCCTGCAGACGCCCAGTTGGAGCTATCTCATCCCAGCCTTCGTAAAAGTGTTTTGGAGAATTTTGCCTAACTTTTAGTATGACTCTGTAGGGCTGACAAGTATCCAATCTTAAGCCAATGTGATTTAAATACTCGTAATGAACTGTAAACTATCTGGCTAAGGACGTTGGTAAATAATATAATATCGAATCAAAGGTAAAAAGCAATTCCTACAGAGTCGTCGGGGCCTAATTAATATAATTGGACGGAGAATTTATAGTGATGTTGTTTAAAATAGATTTAATATTAATTTACGTAGCTGATTGTTCAAATCAGCCTGCTCCCAAGACTTGATTCTTTCACCCGCCAAAGACGGGGTTTAGAACTTAGACGACAAGTCTCGGGGTATTAAAACGGTGAAAACGAGATATAATTTGGACGTGATAATTATTTGTTAAGCGAACGGAGAAATCGTAATTTCGAAACTAGTTAATTAAAATAAAATAAACGATCGCCACCGCTAGTCACTGGCAGACAGGAACTGGCGGGTCAAGACTCAAGTTACGATATTCAATTTAGATAATTCGAATCGGTAATAAGAGAAAACGAAAAGGTATAGTAAGTTAAATATGCGTAAGATAAAACAGAAATAACGTAAAACGTAAAAAGGGGCCTAACTAGTATGGTAGCTAACCTTCGTAATAATATCTATCGTAGTGTCGTTGTCGTATTCGTGACTCGTGCGAGCTAGTCGGTGGTCAAACAGCGAATAATCTTGTCCGGCTCAAATCATGATTTCCTCGGTCGAGGCTTAATCGCTCTGGTGGTGAGTTCGAGAACTAGCCAACAGCTGATCGGAAATTCACCTGTTGAGCCGGTCTAGTCGTCGTCTGTCGTTGGTCAACAAACACCAGTTTGGGGTTATGTCGTCGTCGGCGTTAAATATATGTAAAATCGGTCGGTTTAACTTTATTATGTGAAACGAAGTGTTATTATGAATAAATATGTAGTTGTGGATGTGTTTGTGTACTTCACTGTGAATAAAAATAGGCCTACGTTCTTTGGCCCATAGCCCAAGCTATGGCCAACACATAGGCCTAGGAGTAGGCTGTTGTGGGTAAAAATCGGGTAAGTTATGGTGTTTGTTGACTAGCAATACGTTTTTACCCCCCTTAAAATTTGGTACCTCACACCCCTTACCAACTTCACAAAAAAAGAGGAAAAAAAAAGATTTCAAACGTAGGGGGGTTGGTCCAAAGGTCTCGTAGAAGGGGTAGCTGAAGAAACGGCGTTAAATCGGGAGAGGTCGTGTACAAGAGGGAAAAGGAAACGAAACAAAATAAAATCTTCTTGAAAACAAAATAAAGGACTTCTTGAACGAAAATAAAAACCAACTGGTATAAAAACACCTCTCGTAAAAACGTGTAAAAGGATGAACGCTAAAACTAAAAAAAACTTCTGAATCATCGAACGTAGGGTAATGATTCTTCGGCCCTCAACGTTGGTGGTAGGGCTTCAGGTCCTTCACGTGAACTACGTGTGACATCCCCGAGCGCACATCTCTCACCGTGTAGAGGTTGGCCCCACGCCGCTCCTCAACCTCGCAAGGCCCATCGAACTTGGGCGCGAGTTTCCCGACCACGGCGTCGGTCGCGGAAGACAGCGTGTGAATTCGCCGCAGCACGCGATCGCCGTTATGGTACTTCACCTCCCGTCGGCGAAGGTTGTAGTACCTCGCCTGCTGCTCGTAGGCGGTCTTGAGGTTGGCGTGGACCTTCTCGTAGATGCGTCTGAATTCTTGCGTTCGTCTGTCGTGAACTTCGGCGAGCGTTGGCTGTCCGTCAACGTCGGGCGTCGCCTCCAACGTTTTCCCTCGGACAGCTTTCGGGACTCTGAGTTCGCGGCCTAACGTTAGCATCGCCGGCGTGTAACCCGTCGAATCGTGGACGGCGGTGTTTATGGCGAACTGGAGCTCGGCGATATGGGCGTCCCATGACCTATGATTTTCTTTCACAAACTGAGAAATCATGGTCTTCACAACGCGGTTGACTCGTTCCACCGGGTTCGATTGCGGACTGTAGGGAGCTGTGTTCGTGAAAGCTATGTCCCAATCCGTCGCCAGGTCTCTAAAGAGGTTCGAAACGAACTGAGTCCCGTTGTCGGTGATTATGGACTCAGGTGCTCCGTATCGAAGGAGCATCTCCTTAGTTTTACTGACAACGTTCTTGGCCGTTGCCGACCCGATAGGACATAGCTCAACCCACTTGCTGTACGTGTCCTGGATCACCAGCAGGAAGCGGTGGCCCTTGCCAGACCTGGGTAGCGGACCCACTAGGTCGGCGGACACCGTGTACCACGGACCTTTTGGAGCCCGGAAGTACATCTTCCCTGCCGGTTTCGTCTGCGCCACCTTGTACTTTTGGCAGGCATCACAGGATCTCACGTAGGCTTTCGTCTCCCGACGCCATCCAGGCCAAAAATATTCGGGCCCTACACGGCAAAGTGTTTTCTTGACACCAAGGTGTCCTGCCGTAGCGTCATCGTGGTTCTGTCGTAGTACCGCCTCTACTTGCCCTGGAGGAACGCACATTCTCCAGGACAGCTTACCACCACTCCCATGGCGTTGGGAGGTTCGGTAAAGGCGGTTCTCCACGATTTGATATCGCGGATAGCGTCGTGGGTTGGCGGTCACAGCTGCGTACAACCGGTCGTACCAATCAGTCGGAGGGACGTCGTTGGCTTCGTCGGGGCATGCGACGAACGGGCCCGATTGGCCCTCGTTGGTCACGGGTTGCCTCGACAAAGCGTCGGCGACGCGATTTAGGGTTCCCTTCCGGTACTTGATCTCGAAGGTGTACTGCTGAAGTTCCATCACCCACCGCGCTAGACGTCCGCTAGGCTCGTGTAGCCTCATTAGCCATTTCAGCGCGACGTGGTCAGTTATGGCGACGAACTTGTAACCCTCGAGGTACGGCTTGAATTTTCGGGTCGCCCAAACCAACGCAAGACACTCTAACTCCGTCGTTGTATAGTTCTTCTCTTGATCCGTAAGCAGTCGGCTGGCGTACGCGATGACGACCTCGCCGGATTCTTGGTTCTGCGTGAGAGCGGCTCCAAGACCGATGGTCGACGCGTCAGTCTGGAGGACAAACGGGACCGAGAAGTCGGGACAGGCCAGGACAGGAGCGGAGGTGAGGCGTCGTTTTAGTTCCTCAAACGATTCTTCCTGTTCAGGGCCCCACAGCCACCGAGCGTTCTTCTTCAACAGTTGTCGCATCGGGGCGGTTACTTGGGCAAACCTGTCCACGAAACGACGGTACCAGGATGCGAGACCGAGAAAGCTCCGAAGGGTTTTGCCGTTCGTAGGTCGCGGGAACTCGGCGATAGCGCGGACCTTCTCTGGGTCGGTCGATATCCCCTCGTTGTTGACGACGTGTCCGAGATATCTGAGCTCCTTTTTGCAGAAGTTACACTTCTCTGGGTTTAAACGTAGGCCAGCCTTTCTAAGGCGTTCGAAGACCACCCGGAGGATCTGCAAGTGCTCAGTAAACGTGGCGGACACCACAACGAGGTCGTCGAGGTAGGCGAACACCTTCGGCTCAAGCTCCGGACCAATGACCTTGTCCAGGAGTCGTTGAAAGGTCGCTCCGGCGGAATGGAGTCCAAAGGGCATAACCGTGAACTGGAATAGGCCTAACCCGGGTACGGTGAACGCGGTGATCGGTCGGCTTTCCTTCGCTAACGGCACCTGCCAATAGCCTTGTTTTAAGTCCAGTGTACTGATGTATCTCGCCGGCCGTAGTTTCTCCAGAATCGCGTTGATTCTGGGCAGCGGATACGCGTCGGGGACAGAGCACTCGTTAACTTTGCGCATATCGATGCAGAAACGAAATTTGCCGTTGCTCTTCCTCGTCAGCACAACTGGCGAACTCCAAGGACTATCCGATGGTTCGATAACACCATCGCGGAGCATCGTCGCCACCTCTTCGTCGATGATAGCTTGCATCGCGGGATTTCTGGGATAATACCGTTGCTTGACGGGAGCGGCGTTTTCTTTGAGCCGTATCGTGTGCTCAGCCAACGCCGTCTTCCCCGAAACGTCGTCAAACAGTGGTAGTTCGCGTTCCAGGAATTCCGTGAGTCTCGTGTCTTCTTCGGAGGTCAAATTTTCGAGGGCGTTTACCGGATAGGACGGAGGAACGTCGTCGTGGCGGAGGTTCCGTACACGGCGGTGTACACTGACAAGAGCGAGGTCAGTAATACACCGAATGCCAAGTACCACCTCCACGGTTCGGGACATGTAGGGCATCCCACGAATAAGTCTGGCCCGCGATTTCACCGTCCACTCTGTATCGATCTGA